GAAAGCCAAACGTAGTACTTTAGATGCTGTTGCTTTCCTTGACTACTCCTCCGCCCTCAATACCGTCCCGTGCCCTCTTCTCCTTACCAAAATATCCCCGTGCAGCTCTCCAGGCTGGGTCGTCTCTTGGCTTGGCGAGTATTTTACTTCCCACACTCACTTTGTCCAATCTGGCGAGCGGGAATCTGAACACGACCCTAAAGATGGGGGATAATGCTTCTCGAGTATCGACGCCAAGTGTGTCCTGCGTATATCCGCCTGCCGCAAATATTTGCCCCACGGAGTTCTGAACTATTTATAGACAGTCATTTGGAGAGGGCTTCCAGGCGTTAGTCTAGTTGTAATCGTCTGCGGATGGCTACATATATGGCTGTCTAGACCGCTCGCAAAACAACCTCTGTGCGACACTCTGCGCAGTTACTTGCTTGTTGTTTCACTAGCCAGACAGTCTAGTAATGTTGCACTTTCGCCGAATAACACAAATGGCGCCGTTTGAGAGTACAAGCAGATCGAGTGCGAGCGCTCTTGAGTCTACGCTAACTAGCAGACACTTCTGCTAGCATTTCCCATTTATACCAGATTTCGGCATCTTGACTAAATCGATCTGCACATGAGTTGTCAGCGTTTGCAGTTATTTCGGGTTGAAATTTTGAGTATGTCTAAGTGCGCATTAAAAGATCCGGAGTTAGATGTGGAGAAAGAGTTGTGTTGGCCGGCTCTCGAGGCCATCATCAGGGATGCATGTGATGCTCAGCAAAATTAATAGTCTATGTCGGCTTTATCGTGTACGGATCCGACTATTTGAATTGATCTTTAGTGGTAGCTACCCGCCATGCAACCAGCTTGCACTCCTATGATTACCTACACAGCGTCTTGCAGGGGGGGGAGGGAGTTTGTGCGTCCGTTCAACAGTTTACGACGTGATCCTTAGGCTTCCGTTATCCCAAATTCTGTATACCACACAGTGACTCATCCCACTGAGGCCGTCAAGCTTTTCGAAATTGAGTCAAAAGAAAGAGTAGGAACTGTCAGAAGGGCTGCTGGCAAAAAAGTGGGAGTGAGATGATTCTGTCCTGTTCAGTTGCGTCCTCAGACTATCACATCCCAATCTGCATTCGAAACTGCAATCAGGACAGATCAGTGAATGCCGGAGTTCCCGTAATTTTCAAACGGTTTGAAATGTCTCCTCACATTGGAGATGCTTAAAACTTAAATCCGGCTTCGGTTCAAGTTCAGCATTATAGTCAGGGTCACGGGTTCATACTTTGCCGAATGTTAGCGAAAGTATGCATTGTCGCGTGACATCTGTTTTTGCCGATCTGATTTGGTTGAGTAGAAGGAAGTACCGATGCCTCGTGCAGAGTTGGTATTCTAGACCGGCGAACAGCTATCCAATGCATATAATTGCTAACGCGGCTTGATGACTGCTATACCATCACTCGAAACGTACTCCAGGCAGAACTCTAGTGTGAGGAAGGAGACGCGATTGCTGGGACAAGAGCTTTACAGTAGATGTGCTTACTCATGAAATGTCAACCAAAATTTCGAAATGCGTTCTCGTGTCGAAAGATGAATTATGTAGTGTTGTAAAACTAATCATGATCCAGCATCAATCTATAATCATCCAGTTATCCCAGGGTGTCGGCTTTCGAAAGAACTTATTTTCGGCTGCATGTAAGATCTATGCTCTGCAAAAAATGACCACTTAAGTAGCATGCAATCCTCTCATTGATTTTCGATGCCCTTGAAAATTCAATTATATTTCATGGAAAACATGCCTAAAAGCATTCATTCTTTTACTTATTCGGTGGGAAATCACGTCTTCTTCCAATTTCATACTCAAAAGAGGAGTATAACTCGGTTTTAAAAAGTTTCTAATTGTGAGATTTGTTAATACCGTTAAATGGCCGATCAAGAAACGTCATGTATCTGCATTTACGAATGTGGCTTGTAAAGTTAACAATATTGCATGCATTTCTCTACGGTGTTAACAGGGAGACCATATGAGATTCATAAAATTAGGCAGTGGCACGAGGGGTGCTGTATTTATAGCACGTGGCTACCGTGGGACCACATGCGTACTATAATTAACAGCTCTCGCAATCACCGCTGGGGGTCGGAAATGATGCGATAATGGCTTGTCAATCCGCTTCCGAGTCGTTAATGGCCGCGCTCTCGTCATTCATGCTGGATGCTGCCGTGACGATTGCTCGGCAGTGTGACTCGCTATCACTGGAATTACTGCTCGCGCGCGCCTTCCCCACGTGACTGATTCCCCTGCCCAGGGGAAGTCTCAACACAGAATACGTCTACGAGAGGCCGTTGCGCTTGTTGATAAATTACAGGCCGAGCAGCTCGCGCAGTGGTCAGCCCTTACGAGGATTTCGGCCTCTTGAAACTTGAAAAGTG